GGAAGTCGTCCTCAATTAACTCTGCTTTCAGGAACGAGTGAATGCTTTCACACACACACACACACACACACTCACCCTTACCCAGACACCACTGCCTGCTCTGACCCCTCTCAACTAGCACACAGTGAGCAGAGAATGTGACCTTCACTGGGAAAGCGTATTTGCGTTGAGATGGAGTTGGGTGTAAGGCACTCAGGGGACCTTGCTTTCTCAGGCTCCTTGCTGCTGGAAATGGCTTCTTGCGAGACCAACCTCAGTGGTGGTTAAAAAGGCAATTTAAACGGCCTCACCTCAGACCTGGGGAGGTATAATGTCTGAGTGTAGAGTTCCAGAAAGGCATCTGCAGTGATTTGTAAGTGCATGAAAGTTTGATGACCTATGATTAGCAAAGTTGATCTCAGCCTTGACTTCCCAATGGCATGCCCTGTGTGGTTTCAGAACTACCATCTCCTGTGTCCACCCCAGAGATTCTCCGTTAGTCTGCGGCAGGGCCCAGCTGTTGCCTTACAGCCAATCCCACGACCACCCCCTTTGCATTAGCCTCATACCCTGTAGTCGAGAGAGTGTCTCGGAAAACTGAGGCCGGATGGAATGATATCTGTAAAGCTCTCTCAGGGGGCGTCTTGGAAAACTGAGACCTGATGGAATGATATCAGTTGTCCCCCCTGGGAGGACATGTAACAGAGTGTCCTGGGACTGTGCAGTGATGTACAAAGGCATAGCATTTGTTGGAGTACAAAGGGGTCCGGTAATGGGAACAAGCCTTAAGGCACCCACGTATACACGGTTAATGATTCACCGTTCTACAGTTTTGCTTCTTTTGAAAATTCTCAATAAAAGCCAAGCATTGACCTAATTCAGGGCTCAGTCTTTCTTAGGCTGAGTCCCTTGGTCTTGCTCTCAAATCTGACTTCTGTCTCTTGATCTTATTCAATCTGCGCCGCCCCTCTCGTGTCCCATTTGCCCTTGCCACGCAGGACGTGACACCCAGCATCAAGAGTATCTTCACGGAGTAGCCCAGGATATTCTACCGTGAGGTCAGGGTTAAACACTGGGAGGACCCAAGGGACATTTCTGTGGACTGGTTACAAAGTCTGGGCAACGGTGAAGGCTCCATGGGGAGGCCTGCTCTGCTTTTTTGTAGCAGCAAGTCAACATAACCCATATTCTCTAAGGTGTAGCAAATTTGTAGGTAATCCTACAACTCAAGAGCACCCAAAGATTAAGGAGGGGACACTCACACGTTGGCCTCCATGTAGAAATTCCAGACGTGCACAAAAACAGTGAGACCATGCAGGCCCTCACTGGCTGTGGGGAGGCTTTGGCTCTCACTTGAATGTGCTGAAAGGTTTCTGGAGCAAAAGCAGCGTCATTAGAGGACGCAGAGCAGGATCAGAGTGGGACAGGATATGTTTCTCTGTGACAACAGAAAGAATCCTGGGCTTCTCAAAATCATTGCCTTTGAAGCAGATCTTCTCAAACCACACTTGAAGGGGGCTTTCTCCTTGACCTTTGCCCCTCTCCCGTGTCATCTGCTTTTATTCCCACGGGTGGAAGGCTAACGTCTCCTAGTCTTCACTTCTCAGGGCTTTTCCCTTTGCTCCAAATATGTGGCCAGGTGTGGATTTGAGACAATAACATCAGTTTTTTAGAAAAAGAAATGTGACTTGCTGCAGACTCTACAATTTCCACCCAGTATTGTGCTCAGTAGAGAAGAGAGGACATTATAGAAGTATATAGGGAATTACTTCCCGTTTCCTGACAGTCTCATTATGATGCTTAGAAAGCATTTTCAATTCACACTCTGAACTCCACATCAAAGTACTAATATGGACTCAAACATAAGGGGTGGAAATTGGAGTTAAGATGTAGGCAACAATAGTCTTTGTCACTGAGTTTCTATGATTCTCCCTAATGTAAAGTGGAGGATGCAGACCACCTCACACAAAGGGAAGGTGAAGGTCAAGATGAAACATTGTCAAGATTTTCAGCCAACAGAGCCAAATAACTTCCTTTAAAGAGGGTCACAAATTCAGTCACATGAAGCAGAAACCCAAGGAGACATTCTACAAATGACAGAAATTGAGTCCGGTAAGCGGGGTAGGAATTCTCGAAGGAAGCGCTCCTCACACGGGGAGACTAGCTTCCTGGAGTTCTCCAACATCACGTTCAGGTACAAATCCCACTGAGGCCTAGGATTTCCCACTCCTCCTGGGGAATTCTATGGCCACATCCCTGAATGTCAACGGTCTCTGAAGTAAATAATATACTTAACAAGTGGCCATGGACACAGTTCATACTTAGACCAAAGATGAAAAGAGTTAAAATGAGGGCCGGCCGAGTGGCGCGATGGTTAAGAACTCGCTTGGGATGCCAGAGGGCCCCGGTTCGGATCTCACACATGAGGGCCAGTGACACTGCCCTCTGTAGCTAAGATGCTGAACAACAGCTCAACCTGGAGCTGGGCTGCCATGAGTCACTGGCTACGGCGTAGGCTGCAGCCCCTGTGGCAGTGGGTTGCCATGGGCTACTGTGTGTAGCCAGCAGCCAGCGTGAGCGGCCAGCAGCCGCAGTGAGCGGCTGTCCAGAAGCCAGCGACTGATCTGCCTTGCCCGGGAAGAACACAATGATGGTGCCAACTTGGGCCAGTGAAGCAACGTCCTCCATAACTAGACTGAAGAACAAAACAACAGCAACTTGTCTGTTCCCCTTCCCCCAATTCCCCAGCACTGTTCCCATCCCCCCAATTCCCCAATTAAAAAAAGAGTTAAGAGAAGTGGTTTTGAGGTAGGTGAATTCAATTCTGACATATAAAATTATAGTACTTTCAACATGGTAATATTCTCCAATATTTTTCTAATTAAAAAAGTGAGTGACATAGATACAAAAACCTGCTATAGATAATACACTTTGGGGAAGATAAAATATGTCATTAAGGCTTCAACAGAGGCACATATATTTTTGAGGGTGTATACACCATATGGGCAACTCATGGTGGGTTTGAAGTGTATTTCTCAATTAAAATGTGTAAAACAATGGACTGTATATTTTATTACATTGCAGGTTCTGATCCAGAAGTTCTGGTGTGGGGCCAAAGTTTCTATATTTCTAACATCATGGCCACTCATGCTACTGCTTCAGGTCCCAGTGCCACACTTTTTAATATCAAAGCACTAAACACATGGCAAGACCTGATGGATGACTTGGAAAGGAAAGAGCTTCATAGCAATGAGTGGTTCTTCAGAAATAGCAATAAAGGCGGACCATTCCTTTTGAACATTGTATATTCTGAGACATTATTCTAACAATTCCTAATATTAATGCATAAAACTACAAAAAAAGTCTATGAGAGCATTACTTTTCTTTTATATTTTCCAATATCCAGTGTATTGGTGCACAATTAACTCCTGATCGTTCACAGAATGTGAAGGAGTTCACAAGACTCTACAAAGTAGAAGAGCAAGAAAAGGTTTGTGGAAAGTCAGGAACAGAGAGACTTCTGTTTGGAAGAGAAATACAGGCAAAGGGAGTTTTGCCAGGGCAGAGTTTGATGGAGACAGCTGTGGCGAGTTTCTGTTTAGCTGGAGTTTAATATTTTTCCATGGAGGATGTAGGGTGCTTGCTAGCATGCAGGGAGGCTGCTGTTACAATTGTCTTCTCCTGCGAACTGTCCTGTTTCCACTGATGATGGATGTGAAGTGTTTGTTAGCTTGCAGCTGCAGTGCTAGCCAGGGGATTCAGAGCCAACTGGTTAATTTTTAGGTTCATTCCTGCCAGCTCACAAGGTTGCTCCTGTTAACTCTTTACTTGTCTCATCATCCAGTATTTAGAACCTGGGCTTTAACCTAGCTTTTCTGACCTAGAATTTATCTACAAGACATACAAAGTGAGTATTCAGAGAAAATCATCAACACAGTATCATAGCAGATTTTGTAACTGATAATGTTGGAAACAAGAAGGTCCAAAATGGAATTGATCAAACAAGTTCTACATTTTAGGCACACATCCATATCTCTAAGTAGTAACTATGTACATGACAAAAGTGACACAGTGGAAAAATTTCAATGTCACTGAAATTAAGAAATATTTTCAATTGCAGAAACTTATGCACCTATTTGTTGATGACATTTTTTCAGTGTTTTAAAAAGACTATGGGGAAAAATATGCCCAATGATGTAAACGCATATAAAAACTAGTTGTGGGTGCAAACATTACTGAAAAATGTTATCATTGTGCTGAATTATATTTTAGACTTTGGAAACACTCAAACATCTATGAACTATATCAGTCTTTTTTTTTTTTTCCTGAAAATAGGACAAAGACATGAAAAAGAGTACGAGTTAGCAGACTTAACTTTGGAATAAAAAGAGAACTTACAGGACTGAGGTCTGACTTAGAACCTCCAGTTGTAAAAACCAGTATCTGTAATACACAAAGGTCAAAGCCTTCATGTTCTAAACCAAAAACAAGGAAAGACAAACTCGGAAGAAAGGGTTTTCTAAAGTAAATCTCGTTCTTTATACACAACACTCAGTAAATACCCCCAAATCCTTACTAGTGGAAATAGGAAAACAGTTAATATTACAGAGGAACAGGGCACACAAGACCTGTATCAAGTGAATGAAGGTAACACCAGCTGTGATGGAACAAATTTGTCTCAGCTGCCTGATGCAGATGGATAAACACATCATCTATCCTGCTATCATTGGGGGAAAATGAATTATGATATGACTCTAACCACAAGGAAATGGCTGCTTCAGGCACATTTCAAGCCACATGTAGCTCCCATGTCTGCTAACCTTTAAACAGTCTTTCTTTAGCATTCTAGACAGCAAGCTTCTCTTCCCATTTGTAAATTAAAACCACAGGGAATAAAATTCCTAGTGCTGTCATTCCACTGCATCACCAAATAGTGAACTGGTGATTACAACCGTGACTAAGGTGGGAGAGGTCAACATTGGTGGCAGGAGAACAAGTCATCCATTACACATCACTATTAATACATTAAAAATCACTTGCTTTATTACTAATGTAAATATAAGTTCACACAGAGTCTAAATAAAGCATGGCCAACCACCTATAGGACCTATACACAAAATACACATAACAAGCATTTAGGAAGCATTCTGGTTGTTCTGACATAATGACCTTAGAGCTCTGTTTTCCATGGGTTTGAAGACTGAGGCTCACTGTTTATTCACTATATGTACTCTGATTTAAAGTAATATCTGAAAACTGTTCTTCACTGACTACTTTGTAATGTCAATTCTCTGATATTTTAGATTTCATTTTCGACTCAACATTTCCTCACATTGTTTTACATGTTTAAATGTCACGCTTCCGACCGGAAACGCCAAGGACGAGACAGAAATGCAACGCAAAGAATGGGGAGGAGGACAGACAGCGGTCTGACCCCGCATCCTCGCTGACTTCTGTCTTTTACTACAGACAACAGAGAACAGGTGGTAGGAAATAACAAGCCCACCCCCAAGGCTAAAGGAGAGCTGCTTAGTCTAAGAGTTGTTTTTTAGCTCAAGAGGAGCAAAACAGTTTCAAGGACTTTGGCAGAGGCACCATTTTCAGTGTGGCAGGCATCCAGCCTCACTCAGTTAAACCTTAGTTGACCGCTGAGCTTTTGCTCAAGGAAGCAACCTTACAATCTTGGTTTTGGGGATTCATGCGGGGGAGTCCCTAATGTGTCCCTGCATTTAAAGTCACTTTGGAGCATGAATTCTGTGGGTTTTCTGAAGTTTATATTTTAAACAAAGTGCTTTCATCGTTGATTTTGAATGTAATTTATCCACACTAAGCATTCTCTGATATTGAGTGAGGCTGCAGGTCCAGCTACAGGGTTTCTTGGATTCTTCAGTTTTAAGGTTTCACTCCATTATGAATTTTCATGTGTTGAATAAACTGTAAATGATGAGTAATGGCTTTACCACATTTTTCACATATTAGACTTCTCTCCGGTATGCATTCTCTCATACCTAGTAAGATATGAACGCTGAGAAAAGGCTTTACCACAATCTGTACATTTGTAAGGCTTCTGGTCCAGTATGGGTTAACTCATGTCCAGTAAGATATGAACATTGAATAAAGGTTTTACTACATTCTCGGCATTTGAAAGGCTTCTCTCCAGCATGAATTCGCCTATGTTTAGTGAGAGCTGAATGCTGAATAAATGCTTTGCCACAGTGTTCACATTTGTAAGGCTTCTGTCCAGTATGAATTCTCTCATGTTTAATAAAAGATGAATGCCAATTAAGGGCTTTATCACATTCTCTACATTTATAAGTCTTGTCTCCACTATGAATTATCTCATGTCCACTAAGATTTGAACACCGAGTAAAGGTTTTGTCACGTTCTCTAAACATGTAAGCCTTCACTCCAGTATGGGTTTTCCTAGGTCCATTTAGACTGGGTAATTGACTAAAGACTCTCCCACACGAAATGCATTTGTAAGGTTCCTCCCCAACATGAATATTCCCATGTCAGTAAGATATAAAGATTGGTTCAAAGACTTCTTATATTCACGATGTTTGACTTCTCTACAATATAAATATTCTGATGTGTGAGATTTGAGCTTTCATGAAGACTTTCTCATGTGTACACTGGTTCTCTAGAAACTGAAATCTCGAATGTTTATAATGATGTGACCCTTGCTTAAAGTTTTTCCAAGATTCACTGAATTGATAACTTCTCTCATCAAGACATATATTCCAGTAATCAATAAGGACAGAAAGGCCTTTAATGAGGACTCTAATTTCATTTAAACAGGTAAAGTTGTTCCCAATTACTCCCTGATACCTATGGAACCATGATGCTTGTATAAATACCATCCCACATTTATGAAAATGAAAGAATTTGGAACAAGGAAGGATTCTTTTTTGGTGAAAGAATAATGAAAGCCTGGTTAAGAGACTGTAGAATTGATCATATTTAGAATTTTTATCTTCATTTTTAAATCTCTGATTTTTAAATGTTTGACTGAAAGTTTAATCTAATCCTACTTTTTAAATGATTCAAATTATTGTCACACCATGTATTAGGTAACTTCCCAAATATTCCACATTTCCTTTCAAAGAATATATATCTTTAGTAAACTGTTTTCTAGCTTTACATTCACAAACAAGTGTTTTGCTAATGTAACTGCCTTAAAGTGCAGGGTTTCTCAACATGTCTTATATCTTTGATCTCTTTGGCAACAGGGAATTTACTATGAGTAACTGTCCCAGTTTGCTTATGTCCATCATAATATCCCTTTGGCCCTTCACATTCCCTCTTACATTCCCAGTCTTTCTTAAGTGCAGATTGTTAAGGCCTCACCTTCCATATTTTACCAGTACCATTTTGTAGAATGAATATATTCTATTCCTGGGTTTGGCAACAAGTCCAAGGTGTCCTCAGAAGACATAGCTGAAAGACACAATAAATTATCACTCTTACTACACACAGGTGAATATACTTTCAATTCTAAGACACAAACTTAATACTGACTATAGGACTTAACAAGATAACATAAGGCGAAACACCAAAACTTCTGTCCTCCATGGAGACATAAACTTAGCAACAGTACTGACACAATTAACTTTCTGAATACCCAGAAACCATGTTGAGGAAAGCAAGCCATATGGAAGAGTCACATCAAAGAGGCAAAAAAAGTTGCTTACATTTGCCAACAGTAGCTAATAGCTGTGCGCTCACCCTGGCACACATGGCAATGTTGTGAGAAAACCCCAATCGCCAGTTTCTTCTGAGGAAAATAGATGGCTACACTGCATGTCAAATGAACTCGCTTGCTGCAGCCACCTGAGAGACTCGTTTATCTTCTGCATGACACCGAGTGCTAAGGGAATGGCAGTGCAATGTGAATGCATTGTGGTGGCCACTAAGAAAAAAGGTGAGTAATTTTTCAAAGACCACAAAAAGTGCAGTACTGTATACAATCATCAAGGATAGGAAGATACCACTGCCTCTAAAGAACAAACAGAAAGGCCAGCTGAGTGCTCAGTTGGTTAAGAGTTTGCTTAAGAGGTAGAGCTCTGAGCAACAGGGTCACTGGTTTGATTCCCACATGGGCCAGTGAGCTTCATCAGAGCTGTGCCTGAGCTGAGCTGCCATCAGGTGGCAGGACAGCTGAGCTGGTGAGAGCACATGCTCCTAATGACAAGATTGCCTGTTCGACTGTGGGCTATGCCCACCCATTGCTGGGACTGAACTCAGCACACTGAGCTGTGCTGTGGCCAGAACGGCTCAGTGGATAGAGCATGCACTCTTAACAGCAAGGTTGCAGGTTCGACTCCTGAATAAACATAAATAAATAAATAACATAACATAACATACAGAAAACATTTTAAAGTGCAAAATTACGTGCAGAAAACACAGAAAATACATCCGCAGTACTGGAGGCCTCAGAATTTGAAGCACAGCTGCCTGTTATTTGTGTTTTCCTGAACAAAGCAAGTCCACAAAGTCTGGGGTGGTGGCTGTTTCCTCTCATAAATTACAGCAAAAGATCACAAAGCATATAAAGAAACAGACAAACATGGTCCCATCAGAGGAATAAACTAAATCTTGAGAAATTAGCTCAAAACTAATAGGCGTATTAATTACCTGACCAAGAACTCAAAATACACTGTCATAACTTAAAAGATGTTTTAAGTTACCCTATGATCACCACAAAAAAATACCTACAACAATGAAATACCTACAATAAAATACCTACAACAGATACACAAAAAGAAATAGAGAAAATAATCAAAGCATGACACTACCAACAGAAAACAAAGAAATAGGCCGGCCAAGTGGCTCGTTGGTTAACAGTAGGCTTGGGAGCGCGAGCCCTGAGCAGCAGGGCCGCCAGTTCGGATCCCACATGGGGGCCAGATATGCTGCACCCTCTATAGTTAAGATGGTGAACAACAGCTCAACTGGGAGCTGGGCTGCCGTGAATCACTGGTGACGGTGTAGGCTGCAGTGGGCTGCTGTGAGCTACCGTGAGTGGCCAGCAGCCAGCGTGAGCAGCCAGCAGCTGGCATGAGCTGCCGTGAGCTGCAGTGAACGGCCGTCCAATGGCCAGCGACCGATTCCCTCACCGGGGAAGAGCACAATGATCATAATACCAACATGGGCCAGAGAAGCAACATCCTCCACAACTAGACTGAAGAACAAAAGGACAGCAACTTTTCTGTTCCCCTCCCCCAATTCTCCAATAAAATCTTTAAAAAAAAAAAATCAAAGAAACAATGGAACACAAGTCAGAGGGAAAAACATGGAATAGCTACACAAAGGGCAGATAACAATTCTAAAATGGTTATAGTAGTACCTCTGTCTCAGTGATTACTTTAAATAAAAACAGATGAAACTCCCTGAATCAATAGACATGAGTTGGCTGAATGGATATAAAAATAAAATCCAACTACCTTCTTCCTACAAGAGACTCATTTTAGATGTGGGGACACTCATGGGACTGAAGACAGAGGATGGGAAATGTATTCCATAGAATTGGCCACCAATAAATGGCACAGGTGCCCATAATGGTATCAGACAAACAAACAGTAAGTATCAAAAAGCGTCAGAACACAAAGCATATAATGATAAAAGGGTAAATTTAACCACAAGGTATAACAATTATACTTATAGAAGAGGTGTAGCCAAACTAATATGGGACTTCCACAAAAAATATAAATGCAACTATCATATGACCCAGCAATTCCACTTCTGGGCATTATTCAGAGAATACAAAAGCACTAATTCAAACAGATATCTGCATCCTTACATCCACTGCAACGTTATTTATAACAGACAAGATATATATGCCCATCAATCAATGAATGGATAAAAAAGATGTGATAAATGTACACAATGGAATGTTTCTCAGCTAGGAGAAAAATAGAAATCCTGCCAGTGGCAGCATCATACATGGACCTAGAGTGTATTATGCTAAGTGAGATAACTCAGAAGGAGAAAGACTAATGCCGTACAATTTCACTGATATGTGGAAGCTTAGAAATAGAAATGAAAAAACATTTCAATAAAAATTTCAAGATAGGGCCGGCCGAGTGGCTCAGTTAGTAGAAGCTCAAGCTCTGAATAACAGACCTGCTGGTTCGATTCCCACATGCACCAGTAAGTTGGACCCTCTATAGCTAAGATCATGAGCAACAGCTCGTCTGCAGCTGTGAGCTACCGTCTGCAGCTGTGAGCTACCGTGAGCGGCCGTCCAATGACCGGCGACCGACTGCCTCAGCCAGGAAGAGTGCAGTGATAATACCAACATGGGCCAGTGAAGCGACATCCTCCACAACTAGACTGAAGAACAAGAGGACAGCAACTTCTCTGTTCCCCTTCTCCCAATTCCCCAGCACTGTTCCCCTCCCCGAGTTCCCCAATAAAGTCTTAAAAAAAATGATTCAAGATACAGAGAATTAACAGATCATTGCCAGAGAAGACAGGGCCATGGGGAAAGGCAAAAAAAGTGAAGGGGAATCAGAGGCATAAACGTCTAGTTAAGAAAAGAGTAAGGCATGGGATTCAATGTAGCCTAGGAAATATACTCAACGATATCGTGATGCCTTGTAAGGTGACAGATGTTACTTGAGTCGTATGGTGATCACTTTGTAAGATATGTAAATGAAGAATCACCATGTTGTAAAACTGAAATGAATATAATATTGTATGCCACCTATACTGTAAAAATAGAAATAAATAAATGCATAAAACAGTTGATCCCGCTTTGGACCACAAGAAAAATTTTGAGAACTGTTTCTACTGTTTCACTTTTTCCAACAAGCATGTATTAGTAGTATAATGAAAAAACACACCATGGTGCTGCACAATGAGAAATGAATTCAAAAATTTCATTAGAGTTGACTTATAATATTGTCAGAATATTTAATGCAACCTCATCTCCATCTACACAAGACTCAATATGTATTTATTCCATGAAAAAAACACAGAGATCAACTTCAAATTTTAATGTTAATAATATAAATTTAATTACATACATTTCACATTTTTTCCAAGATCAATTCGTAACTGAGTTTCTTTTTTCAAATCGTAGTTTTAAGTTTTGAACTCCCATGTTTCAAATCAAATATTAACGAGCAAAAATGCCAAAGAAGTCATCGTCAAGGATACAAATGTGAAACCACTAACTGGAAAAGAATATTTGCAAAAGAAATACCTGTAAAGGTCTACTACGCAAAACACACAAATAAGTCTTCACTCTGATCGATAAGAAAACTACCAACCTCATTAAAACATGGGCCAAAGCCCTAAACACACACCTCACTGGACAAGACATACAGAAGACAAAATGATATGTAAAAAGATGCTCCACATCATGTCACCAGGGAAATGCACATGAAAACAACGACGAGAATTAAACACACAGCAAGTTAAACATGACACACCTATTAGGAAGACCCAGAACCCAGAAGACGGACAACATCAAGTGCTGGTGAGGACGTGGAGCAGCAGGAACTTGCATTCACTCCAGGTGGGAACAAAAAATGCTGCAGCCTCTTGGGTACACAGTTTGGTGGTTCTTACATATCCTCTCACCATAAGATCAAGCAATTGTGCTTCTCTGTAGTTACCCAAAGAGCTGAAAACGTTTACCCAATAGTCCACACGTGTGTGTTCACAGCAGCTTTATTCATAATTTCCAAAACTAGGAAGCAATCAAGATGTCTGTCAAGAGGTGAATGGCTGAGTAGACTGCGGTGCATACAGACAATGGAATATTATTCAGTGCTATAGAGAAAGAAATATCAAGCCATGAAAACACATGGAGAAAACCTAGATACATATTAAGTGAAAGAAGTCAATCTGAAAAAGGCACACACTGTGATTCTAGCTATGACATTCCAGAAAAGGCAAAATGATGGAGACAGCAAAAAGATCACTGCTGGCCGGGGTTTAGGGGACAGAGATACGAACATGCGGAGCACAGAGAATATTCAGGTCTTTGACACTACTCTGCATGACACATCATCATAAATGTTCCACACGCTCAGAATGGGCAGCCCCACAGTGAACCCCAAGGAGAACTATGAACTCTACGTGACAATTATGTGTCAGTGTAGCGTCATCTATGTAACAAATGTACCAATGGGGTTACAAGTGACCTGGACAACGGCAAGGCTGTGCATGTGGGAAGGGCATGGAGGGGATCTTCAGTAACTTCTACTCCATTTTGCTGTGACCTAAAAGTGTTCTTAACATAAAAGTCATCCTTGGGCTCCTGCTTCTCCTAAATATCTGATCTCAGGCCCACATGTCTTTCCAGTAGTATGACATTCTCTTACAAGAACATAAATGTCTGCATCCACTGTTAAAAAAACTGTATCGCTGCACAACAATTAGGATGACCACTGTCAAAGAAACACAAAATATCGAGTGTTGCAAAAATGTGGAGAAATTGTCCCTTAGGCACTCTTGGATGAAATATCAATTGTTGCAAACAGTATGAAAAACAGTACAGAGGTCCCTCAAAAGATTAAAAATAGAATTGTGCTATGATGCAGCCTTTCGCGTCAAGGTTCATTTCCAAGAGACTTCAAAGGAGGCTTTGCAAGAGCCACGTGCACACCCATGCACACTGTAGCATTATTCACAAAGCCTGTAATAGGTTGAAGCAACCCAAATGGCCATCGATAGATGAACGGTCAAAGAAAATGGTCAAAGAAAATGTAGCATATACATAAAATGGAATAGTAGTCTGCCTTGAAATAGAAACAGGTGCTCTCACCTGATACAACACAGAAAAACCTTGAGGACATTTAAGTAGAGCTCAAGAGTCAGAAAGACACAGATGCTATGAGTCCACTTCTGTGAGTCGCCTAATGCAGTCCTCTTCATACAACAAAAACAAGGGAATAGCCATGGGCTTGTGTTGAAGGGAAATGAGGGAGTGGTTGTTTAATGGGTACTCAGTGAGTTTTGCAAGATGGAAATTTCCAGAGATCAGTTGTACAACAATGTGAATATATTTAAAACAACTGGACTATACAGGTACAGATGGCACAATTTTAATCACGTATTACCAAAACTGAAAATGAAAAATATCTAAAAAACATAGTTATAATACATTTCTGAAATTACTTTGAATTCAAAAAGTGGTTCTCTCACAAAGAGAATATCAAATCATCAATAAACAGATGTTAAATTAAGACTATTACCACAACTACTTAACTGCACAGGATAAGAAAAGCACTCACCACTAACTAACAAGACATAAACAAGATGAGGCACAAAGTTGGACTAAAATGATACAAACATGTACATCATTTTAATGGCAATAGACATATGCCTGATTCGTATGTAAATCAAATCCCACATTCTCTAAGTGTACTGAACTGAAAACTGTCATTCACATTCATATATATAAGTAACAACTCAAAATGCAAGTAAATGAGTTTGAGGAAACTACCATATAAAAGAAAACACGTTGTTACGGAACTGCAACATGAGAATAAGTGGCAATGTATTCCCAAAATTCTCAACACTACACACATGTACTATTGAGAAGAATCCTTCCATAAACCTGCTCAGTTTCCACCATCAGTGTGGCCCCATGAAGAGCAAGCATTCTCAATCATCAGAATACATGTTGTAGGAAAGCAAAATTTCCCAGACAATGCATTACAATCATTCATAAATATCTCTAAGGAAAATTTTAATAAATAACTATTTAAAACACACTGAAGACATTTTCTGTTGTTAACATATTTTGCTATTCTAACACAAAATGTATGGGCTGTAATCCATCATCCGGGGGGGGGGAACCCTTCACTGCTAAACAAAAGCATGAGAAAGTTATAAAATATCAGAGAATCAGGTATCTATAAAATCAACATTTGAGATTAAAGTACAACAGGATTGAGAGACATGCTGATGAACCTCATGATTAATTTTTGACTGAAGTAAACTGCAATTGAGGAAGGAAATATTTTCCAAAATATGGGAACCTATTAATTCTACAAGTCACTTCTTACCAACCGATTTCATTCGAGCACGAGTATCAGCACTTCTGAATCTAAAACTACTAATCTGGGCCAGCCAAGTGGCGCATTGATTAAGAGCTGGCTTGGGACGCCAGAGGGCTCTGGTTCGGATCCCACATATGAGGGCCAGTGACACTGCCCTCTACAGCTAAGATGCTGAACAACAGCTCAACTTCTTGGAGCTGGGCTGCCATGAGTCGCCAGCGATGGCATAGGCTGCAACCCCTGCTGCAGTGGGTTGCCATGGGCTACTGTGTGTAGCCAACAGCCAGTGTGAGTGGCCAGCAGTTGCAGTGAGCGGCCATCCAGAAGCCGGCAACTGATCTGCCTCACCTGGGAAGAGCGCAATGATGGTGCCAACTTGGGCCAGTGAAGCAACGTCCTCCACAATTAGACTGAAGAACAAAACAACAGCAACTTGTCTGTTCCCCTTCCCCCAACTCCCCAGTACTGTTCCCATCCCCCAATTCACCAATAAAAATCTTAAAAAAATAAATAAATACAACTACTAATCTGACAAAGATAGAATCAGAAATGGAAAACATTGAAGACCCAGGCCCAGGCAGCTTTGGACTGAACAAGACAGAATTATAACGATAGGCATTAAGAAATCAGGGAACAATGGAGGCTTTCCTAAATGGTGGGCAATGTTTTAAACTCCACTATGGCATTAATTCATTTAAGAATTCTGTGAGGTAAACAGGTACATTAAACTATTCTTACATGCAGGAATTGGGAGTAGACACTCAAAATTTCTAATGTTAGTTCATACAAAGCAAAAGGACATTTTGGAGTAAAACTGAGATTGAGGGTTTCTGACTTTAGGGAGGTGCCTTGTACTGAGATGAAATTACTGAGTCTGAACTTAATGGTTGAAGCCTCCTTAGGATTAGAAATTATAAAGCAGAAAATGTGTGGCATCTGTCCCCAGTGCCCCTGGGATTTTCCTCCAAATTCCAGGACCTCCACCACTTCCTTCACAAACTCCTTACAAGAAGCAATAACAGAATTTTAAAATATGGCTTCAGGGAGAATTCCTCAGCAGAAAGCACAGATTTGCCCGGGCCCCCAAGGCAATGGAACAGTAGCCAGCCCATGGCAGCCGCCACAGTCCAGGGGGAGGACATCAGCCCTCACTGCAATGTGACCCAGATCACTGAGCAGGGCAGTCGCTACAGGATGTGGCAGCACAAGACGTATTGGACGGGACTGTCTCTCTGTGACAGCAACAGGAAGAAACCTGGGCTTCTCACATCCTTTCCACTGAAGCAGAGCTTCCTAAACCACATCTTAAGGTCTGCTTTCCTCAGAGACCTTTGACCCTCTCACCTGTATCATCTGCTCCTTCATTCCCACCGACCTGGGAGGATGGATACTGTCTTTTTTTGCTTCACATCCCAGGCCTCCTTCATTCTCTCCAAACAGGTAACCAGGTCTGGCTTAGAGACAGCAAGATCTGTTTATTAGTAAAAGAAACATGAGTTTGTTTGTTTTTTAATATATTTTTAAGGTTTTTTAAAATTTTTTATTGTTGTTGGTCTTTAAGCTGAGATTACATAGTCAATGTAATGTGTTCAAATATTGCTCGTGATCCCTAAAGGCAGTCTTCGCCACCGACCCCTCCGGTGCTCTTGACCCCAGACCTTGGTTGGGTCTCCCCATGGCCCCCACACTCCCCACCGCCCACCCTCACACACCTGAGCCAACTCCTGTTCGCAGGCCGACTCAACGTCTGCAGCTGCTAGTCCAGCATGTCCTGGGTCACCCGTCCTGAGTCCCCTGAATTTTGACATCAGTCATCACATCACCCAGGATCCACCAACCCATCACAGGGCTTCGTCCTCGACCCTCACGGGCCTCCCACACAGTCACTCGGAGATGCTCTGAGGACAGGTCACAGGGAAACGTGGCAGGAGCGCTGTCACCGTGTCACCGGGCTCTGTGGATACACGCCCCCAGGAGTCCCCGCACGGGCTTCGTGAGGACACGAGAGTGTGAAATAGCTGAGACCATGTGCATGGTCTGGAAGGGTCTCTGGGCCGTGTCCACCCTCCTTTCAGGACCCGCGTCCCGAGCCCAGGCCTTCGCCATCCTCCCTGGTTTGGGGTTTGCTCTCGGTTCCCGGGCACCTCTCTGGACTGGTGACCAGTGTGGCCTCAGGGTGCGAGAAACGGCCGGGCTGGCACAGGGCGTCCCCTCCGGTCACATCCACACACGGGCTCAGGGGACAGCGCTCCCGGGGCTCACTGTGACCTGGGTGCGCCTGGGCCGACGCCGTGCCTCCCCCGCCATGCACAGAACCGCCTCCGACCGACCGACCAGCCGTGAGAACTGGAACCGACTCCGAGGAACCCTGAGACGCAGAACCGCCTGACGAACCACGAGGCCGGAAGTCGGTCGGAAGTCGGTAAACAAACGCGGCGGCACTTCCAGCGCTCACCGCGCCGCCATCTTGCGCCCCTGACCCGATGCCAGGGTCGGGCTTCTGCCCGCGGGGAGGTCACCTCTCTGCCCGTGGAGGGACCGCTGCGTCCCTCAGTCCCTTCTGCCCACTGTAGTCCCTTTGCTGTGACAACTGAACAGTCACCAAGGACAGAGGCCGGGCCACCCTGCAGGCCTGGCCCTGACCCACCGGGACCTCGGTAGGGACGCGTGTCCCGCCGGCCTTCCTGCCCGCGGCTGCTCACAGCCCAGCCTGGACTCCGTCTCTCCTTCAGCCCCCGTCAAACTCGGGCAAGGACATCAGTTGACACTTAGCGACACAATGAGTGACAACGTGCAGGAGGCGGTCACGGAGAGGACGTAACCCTGGCGACCCTCGAGCTGGCCTGTCCTTGACAGACCCTCCGCCTGCGGTCCCGTGGGAGCCTTTTTCAAGGACACGACCTACCAGAGCGACGTGTGGGGAGATCATCCGCCGGTGACCTGACAGAGCCGGCGGAGGCCTCTCCGGAAACAGTAAGGTCCTGGCCGGAGGGCAGGCGGGGAGCTTCTCCAAGACACATGAGTTTAGATGGAGAGTCTCCAATTTCCAATCCAGTATGTGCTCAGGTGAAAGGAAGTTTCATTGCAGAAAACTACAATATTCTAGAAATGGATTCCCCCAAAACAGTTATTTGACAGCACCTTTACTCTACTAGAAAAGGTGGGATGTTTTCAGATCCTGAGTTCCACTTCAAGGACATCATGAAGACTTCCTTTCTACATCAGCAAATCCCCAGGTGGTACTCAGAGCCAGGATCTGACACTACCACACAGAGCACAAGCTCCCAGGAGACGCTGTACTGATGAAGGAAACACCCCCCTGAGGTGGGGTAGGAGTTCTGGAAGGAAGTCAACCTCACCCAGGGAGCGCAGGTTCCTGTCGTTCTCCAGCATCACGTCCATGTACAGTTCCTGCTCAGCCGGGTACAGGCACTCCCACTCCTCCTGAGCGAAATCTATGGCCACATCCCTGAATGTCAACTGTCCCTGAAACAAAAGACACATTTACCACATAGCCACGGACAAGGTCATAACATGAATCAATATGAAAACAGAGTTAAGAGAACTGGTTTTGACCTAGGAGAGTGTCCGAAATGGAACACAAAGGCCACTGACAGTAATATTCTCGAGTGTTATTTTCTAACTCGGAAACAGGAGGATGACGTATGATCCACATTCCACTTAAAGGAAAATCTGTCTTTGTCTCTGAAAGATAGATTTAAATTCAGGTGTCAATGCAGGTATTTGGCTTTTTCAGTGTTATATTTGTATCATACAAGGTACATTATGTACATTTTTCTGCTGGAAATGTGATGGTGAGTTAAAAATGCAAAGTATTTCTCAAATTTTCATGTGGAGAACAAGGAATTGGACTGTTATAAAAATGCAGATTCCGACTGAGAAGTTCTGACATGGGGCCTGATTTCCACATTTAACAAACTCACTTTTAACTAGTGACACCAGTGTCTCTGGTCCATGTGTCACACTGTTCAATAGCACAGAGGAAGGAAACAGGCAAAAATACAAACATGACTTTGAATTGACAGATTTTTATGGAATTTACACTTCTCATAGAAGCATAGCAACACAATCCTTTATGAAAATGACTGAGAGCGTTCTAATTTTTTTTACATATTAATTCATAATGCACATAATCTTGTAATGCACATAACTCATAAACTGAAAACAATGTCATGCATCCTCTTGTATGGAAATATTTTCTGATGCATCCACTAAATGGTAGAGCTTGGGTTTTATTCCAAACTTTATAATTTTTCAAAAAAGACAGAAACCAATACGCATAGACAAACACTCATGAACCTACATGACCATTGCTATAACTGAGTAAAAGAGAAACACCTTAAGCAAGAAGAAAGAAAAGATCAAACACTGTTGAGATTTTATGGACCAGTCACACAGATAGACATATGGGAACTGTGTGCATATTAAAAATGACAGAGAAGGAAATTTTCATGTCACTGAAATAACAAGTATTTTCAATTCTGTACATCTCATAAATGTCTTCTGGATGATACTCTGTATTTTATAAATACAATAGGGAGAAGACCACACAGTAACATAAGTTATTGATGCTGTTTCTTTGAAAAAATTTGGATATCATTTGTCCTGATTAATACATTACTAATTACCACACTTCAAAACTTCAATAACATGATTGCTGTAAACTTTCTTAAAAACACAGTGATGACGTAGAGAATTACTTGACATGAGTGTGGAATATAATGAAAATTTACAGGAACAAGGCTTGATTTATTAAAACCTCCACTCCAAAAGCCAATTATCTCTAGTAAAGAAAGCTCAGGGCCTTCATTGTCCAAAGCAGAGGAACTAAGAAGAAAAGGGAGTTTCCAGGTGAAATGTGATGGTTTTTGCACATCTTTCTATAAATCCCTCCAGACCCTTGCTAATGATAAAGAAAACAATATTAACTTTATAGTGAATCCAGGACCTCAACCAGGTTAAAATCAGGTGGAACAAATGGGTATCAGGTGGCAAAGGCACACGGAAGGACACACCGTCACTGCTGTCATGTTACCAGCAAAAACGAACAAATAAGGAAATTATAATCTAAATCTGATCATAAAAATATTAGTTTTATACAAATTTGAATGCACATATAGCTCCCATGTTCTGTAACTCTAACAGTGCATTTAGACAGCAAGTAAATCTTACCAATCTAGTGAACAAGATAGTTCTAAATATTCTATTTTTTCCTGAACTTTCCAAGCCATTCTGAGCCCTGAGGCCATCCTGCATACTGGTGCACATTCTTACCCGTTCTACAGCCCTGACTCTAGTCACAGGACACACACCTACACCTCCCTCCTTCAGGACACCAGGCATCTGACCCTGCCCAACGGGGACCTTGGACATAACCCCCTTCCCAGGTGGATTTTATCAGTAGTTGAGGGTCAGAAATCACAATAAAATTCCTCACGTCCTGAAGGAGCAGATGGGCAGAATGCAGAGAAGGCTCTGGGAGAAAGGCAGAGTGTTCTACAGAGCTGACCTTGACTCTCATGAGAAAAAAAGGAAAAAGTAAGTAGTTGAAGAGAACCTCGCTAGGCAGAAACGTCAGAAGTAGAGAATTAAAGGTGGCAGGTTCTACACCAACGGCTTTTAGGAGGAAAAGCAGACACAGCCTGGGACCCGGGATGGAACGCTTACCTGAGAAGCAGCCATTTCTGCTCTGCGTTGTTTCCTCAGGTGAAGTTCTGGGGAATCACATCTGCATCTTGAGAATGTGCCCACAAGGGCGTCAGCTCAGGCCCCTCATCTGCTTCCTCCAAACAGCCAGAAGGACCTTGAAATGCTGAGAAGGTCGCCCCTTTCTGTCCCTTCTCACAGGACAGTCAGGGAGAAGAAGCTCCTACCTGAAGACAGAACTGTCAGTTTTCTCTTTCCTGACTCACATGCTCTCCCCTTCCACAGACGTCCACAAATTCCTACAGCAATGAGAACGTCGGATGCTCTCCTGCCCCCCACAAACCCAACACAGCATCCTATTACCTCCCCTGGACCAAAGGATTCTTTCAACAGTCACAACTGTGTCCAGGAGCCCCCAGCTAATCCCTGGCCTCACCTGAGAGTCTCCTGGGACACCTCACTTAACAATAATGCTCCACCCAGACCACTTATCCAGCTCCCAGGGGTAAGGAACAGGTGACATCATTCTTTGAAATTCCCACATTTCTAGGATGGGAACCATTTAGCTTCAATGAGCATGCAGGTCCCTGGGGGATCAGGGCCCACTCTAAGGAGTTATGGTTCTGCAGGTCTGGAGGGGGCCCAGGAAATGACATCTTTAAGCCTCCTGGGGGTGCTGACTTGCTCCCCAGACCTGTTTCCTGTCACACTGGGCTACAGATCTCAGACTCCATCTCAGACTCCACATGCTTGAGAGCTCTGGGGAGTGGGGCTTTGGTGTGGGAACTTATAAAAGGGGTGGCTCCCCAGGTGTATTTCCTTCCTGTTTTCCAGGAAATCATAGAGAATTAGTTAAAAAACATAAAATAATAAACATACATTTTGGTGTTGAAAAATTGTAAAAAAGGGTGAGCTATGGAAATACGCTGATCCAATTATTTCACAGTGAATAGACTGACTCCGTGGGAATGGAGTTTCAGGTCTTTCTGGTCCATCCTTCCACATTTTCAGAAAAAGAACCAGTGGGACTTGAGGAAACAGCTACTTGGTAGCTACAAGCTCATTAATTTTTTTTTTTTAATTCTTAGTATCGGGATTGTGGAGAGACAAAGATTTTATTTTATTTTTCTTAGATTTTTCTTTTTTATTGGGGAATTGGGGTAAGGGAACACCGTAGGGGAATCAGGGAAGGGGAACAGATAAGTTGCTGTCATTTTGTTCTTCAGCCTAGTTGTGGAGGAAGTCGCTTCACTGGCCTATGTTGGTATTATCATTGCGCTCTTCCCGGGTGAGGCAGTCGCTCGCCGGTCATTGGATGGCCGCTCACAGCGGCTCTTGGCAGCTCATGCTGGCTGCCAGCCACTCACAGTAGCTTATGGCAGCCCACTGCAGGCTCACTGCAGCCTATGCTGTCGCCTGCGACTCACAGCATCCCAGCTCCAGGTCGAGCTGTTGTTCACTATCTTAGCTGTAGAGGGCGCAGGATCACTGGCTCTCAATGTAGGATCCGAACCGGGGCAGTGCTGCTCAGAGCTGGCTTCCCAAGCCAACTCTTAACCAATGTGCCACTCCGCCGGCCCCCAGCTCACTAATTTAACAAATCATGTAAATTGAAGACAAAAGCTAACTCATCACACTACGTTCTCACTGCAGGCATCCTTACCAAACGCACACTGAAGTGCCCTAATATTATTAATAAATACCAGGGGATGTTTCAACATGTTAAAGAGTAGAAAGAATGCAGAGCTTCTCATCTAAACTAGACATAGTGTTATTAGAAGGGGAATCAATTCAAGATGTTATTTACTGTAATTATTTCTAGGATCAAAATTATAAAAAAATTGAGACTACCTCATATCTAGAAAAGAATAAGAGCTGGTAATGAGATAGCACCAAAACTTATTTCAGAAGTTAATGACTAGTTACAAAAAAAGCAGAAATTCAGCAGACTAAAATTTATCTCGATTTGCTTTTTATAAAAACAATGAATCAGGGCCGGCCAAGTGGCGCGTTTGTTAAGAGCTGGCTTGGGACGCCAGAGGACTCCAGTTCGGATCCCACATATGAGGGCCAGTGACACTGCCCTCTACAGCTAAGATGCTGAACCTGGAGCTGGGCTGCCATGAGTTGCCTGCGACAGCGTACGCTGCAGCCCCTGCTGCAGTGGGTTGCCATGGGCTACCGTGTGTGGTCAGCAGCCGCTGTGAGCGGCCGTCCAGAAGCCAGCGACTGATCTGCCTCGCCCGGGAGCACAATAATGGTGCCAACTTGGGCCAGTGAAGCAACATCCTCCACAACTAGAATGAAGAACAAAACAGCAACTAGAAAAAAAGAACGACAGCAACTTGTCTGTTCCCCTTCCCCCAATTCCCCAATAAAAATCTTAAAACAAACAAACAAACAAACAAAACAATGAATCAAATGTAAGACAGGTAACAAAGGAAAAAAGTAAATCCCATGTTAAAAAAAAGAGAGAGACACAATGGTTTTACTATTTCTAGAAAAGGCATCCTGTGTTAACAGACAGTCATTTCTTGTCCCAGGTCACATCCCTTATGCCATCCCAGGAAAAAAGAAGGGACCCAGACTGACTGACACAGGTCTTTGTCCTCTGGCTGCATGAGGGTTGCACATGGAAGCCACTGGGTGATGAAATTAATTATTAAGCACACAAGCACTAGAAACTGGAGTTTTGTAATTCTCATTCTCATCTGTGTGACTGAAAGTGCAGCACGTGTTAAATTAAAGCGATTATAAAGCCACAATCAATATATCATGCCTTGATCACCCACATCCCACCAGCTCACAGAGCATCCAGGTGGGGGCACCCCTTCTTCCTCTGCTACTATGTACTCCTGTGTGTCCCCCTCCACCCAGATTCTCTCCACTAATGTCCTCTCCCCTTCCCTGCACCTTTTCTGTGAAACTCTTGAAAGCGTTCACCTTCAGTTGCTCTTTCTCCTTGATCTGTATGATTGCTCCCCATCTCCACATATTTCTGCCTCTTTCTCCCCGTCCCTGTGCACCTCCTCTTCCCCGGTGACACTGTCTTTCCTCTTACACCCCTGTGCCCCGACTCACTGACACCCCCAGCTTAGCTCTCGGTGCGGCTTCTCCCTCTGCTGTCACCCCCCTCCCCTCCTTTCTGTTCCTGCACTCGGCTCCCCCAGCTCTTCTCCTAACCCCTCTCTCCGTCTGAAATTCCCTGTCCTTTGTTGCCCCCACTTCTGCTAACCAGAGGCCCCTCTCCCTTTTGACTCCCCTTCATCTCTGGAGCTCCTCCCTTCCCTCTATATTTCTCCATTTTCTTTCTCCTCTGGCTGCTTCTCCGAGTTACTCATTCAGCCTTACCGTCACTTTATAAGTCCCTCCCACATCCTCTGTTTTGTCGCCTTTACGGACCACGCACTGATCTTCCTGCCCTCTCACCCGTCTATTCCTCTCTCATCCTGTCTCCTTCTCGGGACCCCATCGCACCCCCGTTCTGCCGATTTCCTGGCCTGCCCTTCACAGTCGCCGCTTACACAAAGCCCCTCACCGCGTGAGGGGGTGACCTGGTGACACCCCGCGGTGTTCCCTCCTAAATCCCACCCCCCTGAAAAGTGTGCTCTTCCTGGCATTCGGGCCTCTCATTAAACTGGGACGAGGTGGGTCTCCAGGCGGCGGGGAGGGTGTGCAGAGCCCCAGGCAGGGAGGAGGCCGGGCGCCCGGGGCCGCGGGGCGAGGCTGGGGGAGGGGCGCCAACGGCTGGACTCCGTCTCCCAGGACTTCACACCGCGCGGCGGAGCGCTGCCCGGTGGGGGGTTTTAAGCAGGAAAACAACGCGGCAGGCGGGATCTAGTGGCCTGAAGGCGGAGAGACCACAGGGGAACGGCCTCAGTTTCCCCGGAAACCCCCGCGGACCCTCCACCCTGCAGCGAAGCGGCCTGGGATCCGGACGTCTCCCCAGGGCGCCGGACTCACCGCTGTAGGGGGCGCGGGTGCGGGGACTTCAACGTCTGTACTGACCCCCAGGCGTCACGAGTGTAGGACGGTGGACTGAGACGCTCAGGTTTAAACTAGAAAGACCGAAACTCACGGTAGCCAACCAGGCCTTCTCTCTGCCTTGGCCGCTTCCGGGTCTGCAAGAAACTCCGCCCGGCCGCTGCCAGAAAACGTGGGCCGCAGGCGGGGACTGTGAGGAGCGCTTAGGTCCTGGGCGGGGCATCTACCTTTCGGTAAGTATACAGGCATTAACAGAAGCCAAATAGTTTATTGGAGTATTCCACTCATAAAACAATGATTCAAGATTTTTAAAATTATCAGCTTTATATATTATAACATTAATGGGTACTTAAAATTTCTTAGATAGTAAAATAGCACGAGAAAAATGAAATTGAGGCAAAAACTGTCAAGAAGCAGAAACATTTCACCAAACATTTTGACTAGCAGAAAACAGTAAATTCATTTCCTCTGAAATGATGAACAATGGGGATGACCAGAAATCCTGTCTAAACAAATACCAATAGAAGAGGGAAAAGGAGGAAAAATAAATTGAGACAGACTCAAAGAGCTAGAACTATTAAACTCACAAATCTAAATAGAGACTGGCTAATAGTAAATAGAGGAAAGAAGATATTCCACGCAAACCTGTTCCTAAAGACAGCCAGAGTTGCTAAATTCTAAGAGACAAAACAGAGTGCAAGACAAAAACTGACAAGAGGCAAAGGACATTATAATGGTCAAGGGGCCCATTCTCCAGGAATACATAACAATTATAAGTATATATACATACAACATTAGAGCTCCCAAATATATGAGGTAAATGGTGACAGAAATGCAGGTAGATTTGAAGAGATACTAGCACAGTAATCCTATGAGGTTTGACTACTTCAGCGTTATATATGGATACAACAACCAACACAAGATGAATAAGAAACCAAATACTTGAGTAACATCATAGAAGGAAGGAATCTAACAGAAATACACAACACTCCACCCAACACCAGCAGAAAACACATTCTGCTCAAGCACACAGGGAATGTTCTCTACTGTAGACCACTTGTTAGCCCAAACCAAATATGAAATTTTTTTACAAATTGCAATCAAAACAGCATCTACTCCAACCACAACAAAATGAAACTAGAAACCAACAGCAGAAGGAAAACAGAAACATCCACAAACTGTAGAAAGTAAACAATCATTAAACAACCAGTAGTTAAAAAAAAATCACAAAGCAATTTTTAAAAATCTGGGTAAAAATACTACAACTAATATTTATGGGATGCAGTGATAGCAGCACAAAGAGAAGCTAACTGGTAAGTATTTACATTAAAAAGAGGAAACACCACAAATCAGAAATCAACTTTTACAACTCAAAAAAAAAAAAGAACAAACTAAAACAAAGTTTAGTAGAAAAATAAAAACAAAAAAAATAGAGCACAAGTAAATAAAAGAGATTAGAAAACAATATTTTAAAAATCAAACAAAAAAGTTGCATTTTAAGCAGATTAACAAATTTATAATCCCTTACCATCATTAAGTAAAAATACAAGATTCAACTAACTCACATCACAAATGAAACAGGGACCGTTGCAACTGATGCCACAGAAATTTTTTAAAGGATTGTAAGAGAGTGACATGAATGATATTATATGACAAAACTACATAACCTCGAAGGCAATAGGTAAATTCCTAAAAACATAGCAGGACCAATTGTGAATAAATAAAAAATAGAGAGATTCAAGCAGTAATCAAAATATTCAACAACAACAAAAGAAACAAACCCAGAACATACGCCTTTGCTGCAAAATTCTAACAACACTAACAGAGGACATAACGATAATTCTGCTAAAAATATTACAAAAGAATTAAAGAATGAAGAGTTGCTAAGTCATGCTATGGAGTCTGCATGATGCTTATAGCAAACCCAAGAAAGGCACACACACACACACACACACAGAAAAACTACAGACTAATCAGTATTGATGCAAAGACAAAATACTGGTAAACCAAATTCAACAGCACATTAAGGCAATTATACATAATGAACAAGGGAATTTATCACGTAAAGCAAGAATATTTCAACACACAAAAGTCAATCAGGGGGCTGGCTGAGTGGCTCAGTTGGTTAAGAAGCGAGCTCTGAGCAACAG